GCCGTTCTCATTGGCCGGGACGCGCCCCGCGAGCGCTCAATTGCGTCCATTAGCCCAATATGGCGCTCCATTGGTCCCACGCGACGGAGACCCCGCCGCCGCAGGCCCTGCAGCGCGGCCTCTCTCGCCTGTGCAAGGGCCACCGTGAACTGCACTCAATCAGCTTCGTAATGAAACTTGACAACCCTACACTGGCAGAAATTCCTACACTTCCTTCATGTAAATTACGTTGAAGTAATTATAATGACCGTACATTAAATTTAATGTACACATGTACATTATGTTGCACGAGTGAAGATTACGGAATGAATGAAGGAATGATCTTTATGGTCTGTGGATTATGAATATACGATATCAATAATGATATCCGTGATAATGAGGCATATTGAGGCAAAAGAAACGGCATTAAATTTAATTCACAAATATATTAAGCTCTTTTTAATGTACATTAAATTTCATGTACATTAGTACATTAATTTACATTAAGTTTAATGACATTTCTGACAGTGTACTTGGTGCAACGATGCAATATGAGTGCTAGTGGCGTTTGGTGCAGCTGTGCATAATGTTCGCCAAGTTTTCACGATAAAAGTTTGACACATTTGTAGGAAATACGCAGAATGTAAGTATTCACTGTATATAATACGTACATAAAAACCGTGGTCGTATAATGTGCCGCCTCATCCACTTGGGTCACACGCTTGTCCCCAAATCCATCTCAATAACTTTTGTCTTTTAGTTATTGCAAGAAGGTTGAACCGCAAAAAAATTCACCGCAAGAAACGGCGTCAGTTTAATCGTATCCGGAGATGAAAGACTTTGCACCCAAATTTCCACAAAATGTCAAAAAAAATAGTTTCCGCATTTGGTAAGAAGAATTTTAGGACATTGTCAAAAACGCAAAAGGAGAATAGGTAGAAAATACATGGCTGTCTGCGACCCGCCGTGTTCTAAGTACAGGTGCCAACATTTGGGCCGCCATTTTGGAACCGCATTTCGCCCTGAGGAAGGTTGAAACGTTGGCCCTTGTTCCTAGGACGCGGCGTCGCCATGACAGCCAAATATTTACTGTCTGCGATCATGGCAGTAACGCTCTCGTGAGAATAGGTAGTTTTTTAAATAAGATAATTACTATGGAACGGGGAGCAAGAAACTGGTAACAAATTCTTGACAAACTAATAATATAACTTTCAGTTATTTTAAGTGATTCCATGAACTAAGAAATTGTTCATATTGTACTCACGGTGCAAAGTTGTAATGCCAACTATTCCTCTAGTAGCCAGCACTTCATAAAGCACGTTCCTCACGCCTTGTTCACAAGAATGCTTTGGAATCCTTGAAACCAAAATAATAGTCAACTATAAATAAACGTTGTATTTGCAAGTGACATGAACGATGCTGATGTGGTCAACTGATCGCATTAAGAAAATGGCGGGAAGTATTAGAGAAGAAACGGTAAGACGAATACAATTTACAGTAGTTAAAATTTGGAATGTGTAAAAGTTATATAAGAGAAAAAGAAGAAAATGAAAGAATGAAAGAAAGAATGAAGAAGAAGAGAAATAGAAGTAAATGAATTGAAGTTACTGAAAATAAAATACGGATCTAGAGTTGAGTAAAATGAAGTGAGTACAAAATTCACAAGGGGCACATACTTAGCATAAACTCTTAAACATGCATTTCAAAAAGAATTTTATTTATATGGTGTATATCTTCCCTGCGATAAAAAATTAAAATTTTAATCAGTAGCAAAAAGATGCAAAAAAGCCACCGAAAAGTGATCTGTCGGTGAAATTCTGTCACTAGCAGAAATGCTAGTTCATTCCGTCGTTACAGACTTTTTTCACTTGAATAATGAACAGCTGTTATCGGTTTAGCCAAACTCATTAAATTCACTGTCTGGGAAGGAGAATTCAACTCTTATATACGCCACAAAAGTTACTTTGATCATTCAAATACAAATAAAAATAGTTTTATACTTATTGATTGCCCGCTTTCGACCACTTTGCCGTTATCACTTTCGACAAAGCAGTCGAAAGATGGCTGTACATCGACAAAGCAGTCGAATGATGGCTATACATCGAATGTTTGTGAGCATTTTTCCTTAAGATTGTATTTTATGTTGACCCTGCCGTCCCGTTGACAAAGAAATCATGAGAACTTATATCCAAGTTTAAACTCAAGCCCAATTGTATAATCTTCTTGCATCACACAAATACCATTCATTGGGAAAGAAAGTACCCGGGTAACGAAAAACGTGAACACACTAGAGCAATTCTGACTTTCTATTCAGAATCAGTTCATTCCATTACCAAACTAGAAGACCAAACACAAATAAACCAATGAAAATTATTAAGTTAACAAAATCAAAATTTGCTAGTATAAATAAAAGTATATTAACGACGATATCATCTTCCTGAATCCATCATCTGATCAACGCTTCACCACAATTTCCACCCAAATAAAAACACCAGCACATGCACATTGATCTCCCCGCCATCGATCCTTTGTCCTCCCACAGGAAGCCTCCACTCGCATCCTCTCGACCTCCAATAAAG